GGAACAGTATTTGAAAGTTGAGCTTTTCTTGCCTGGGACTAAGAAATCTAGCTTTTGAAAAATAGCAACTGAAACAGAAAGCACCCCTCTACAGTGAGCTAGAGATCAGCAAAATCCTGCTTCTGTACAGTCATCCAATTTAGAATATTTTTGTTTTGGGTGTTAGGTTTGTTTTTTTGTTTTTTGAAGAGGTTGTTAAGCACACACTCAAGGAAGAACCATCAACAGAGCACATCTATGGCCTTCAGAGCCTAAGATACTTAGACATTTACTGTCTCATCCTGTACAGAAAAAAATTTGCCAAACCTTCAGTAGATTAGTGGTTCTCAAATTGTTATCCCTATAGCATCAGCATTATGTAGGAACTGGTTACATATGCCGCATCTTGGATCCTAACTTGAATTAGACACTCTGTTTATGGAATCTGGTAATCGCTTTTATCAGGTTCTTTATAGTGGTTCTGATACATGCTTGAGCTTGAGAATCAGCCCTGTAGGCCAAGGATTTAATCCCATCATAAAATATTGCCTCACAGCAAAGCAGAAATTCAAGATGGGTATAGCCAAATGGCAGAGGATACCTTTGAGGAAATACATTGTTATTTGGCTGGATCACTTCCAGTGTTGATATATGCGCAGTCCAGCCAATAGAAATACTCCACCTAATATAAATGCTCTTCCCAAGCCCTGTCAGGATTCTTAAGTGTATCCTTATTCAGAGTCTTTGAGGGATAAGAAATCAAATGTTTTAAACTCCTATGATGATCTAAAGTTGTATGATTGGTGCTTTTGAACATTATGATACACAGTTAATAACTTATGTAGCTAGACACAGAGGCACACTCCTATGGTCCCAGCTACTCAGAAGGCAGAAACAGACAGATCAAAATTTTTAAAAAGAGCTAGGGATATAGCTTAATGTGAGGCCCTGGGTTCAGTCACCAGTACTGAGGAAAAAAAATGCGCTCTAAGTTTCAGTATCAGAAAACCTGTATTTTTTTTAATGTTTTCCTGAAATCTAGGCACATTTATAATAACTAAAATATACTTCCAAGATTTCCTTATCTAGTTAGCTATTAAGTAAATATGAATTTAGTCTTTTCTTTCATAGTTAATGTTGTACTGTATGTTAATAGAAATTCATTTATATAGTTTTTACATTTTTCAGTATTCTTGATCTTCCAAAGACTATCCATAGGCAGTTATTTTCATTCTACAGAGAAGAAAATAAGACCCAGAAGGACCTGCTCAGACCCCCTAATATATGGTAGCATGAGTCTTTTGGTTCCATCATATTACCCCATATTCTGAATGTGGGGTAGAAATTTTTAACATTTGTGAACTTTAAAACACAGTATCCAACATGTTGATCACACTGTGTTTTGCAAGTAACAATTATAGTCTGTTTATCTTATAACAGGTTTTTGTTGCTGTTGTTTGGGTTTTTTGGTTTTTTGTTTTTGTTTTTGAGACAGGGTTTTGCTATGCAGTTCAGGCTGGCTTCAACTCAACAGCAGTCCTCTTGCCTCAGCCTCCCAAGTGCTAAGATTGCAGGCATGTACCACCACGCCCAGCCACAGTTTTTTTTTTTTAAGTATGTGTACACAGCAGAGATGAAAAGCTGAGATTGAGAAATAATCTTTAACTTAGAACATTTAGTTCTGTTGATTTGTAGAGATCAGTTGTCAACACCATATATCTTTAGTTCTTTGTCTTCCAAATTATAGGTGTTAGAATTTATTTGGTGGTAATATATTTGCATAAATATAAGGCTAGCTTACACAGGAAAACTTGTGTAAGAACAGATATTTAAAACTAAACCCTTCCTCATCTCTACACTTAAATCATTGAAGGCAAAGTCCTTCATAATGATGTTCTAGGTATGTTTATACAGTTGTGTTTTTATAGATCCAGCATACATCTTTAGCTACTTCCTATAACAACTGTTCATAGTCTGTTTTGTGCCCCTATAACAAAATACCCAAGACTGGTTACTTCATGAGAAGTGGAATTTATTTTCTCACAGTTCTGGAGACTGGGAAGTTCCATATCAAGTGCATTGTCCCCTGAACCCCTTCTCGCTGAGCTGCCGCTTGCTGAGTCCCTCTCATGGCAGAAAGCAGAAGGGTAGTTTAGCTATTACTGTGTAAAGCCTGTTTGTTTGAGAAGTGGCCGGGACTCTCCCAGTCCTCTAGCCTCAGCTTCTAGAGTACAAAGCCTCATGTATGAGGGCCTCCCTCCCGTGAAGAGAGAAGCCCTCGTGACCTAATCACCTCTTACAGGCCCTGGTGGAGGGGGCCTGTTCAAACCCATCTGGACTTACCAGAGGCGTTCTGAAAATGGCCAGTCACCTGAGGGCCCGGGTGTATGAGCACTGTGAAGGAACACAACGGACGTTGTCATAAGCACAGTTAGTCTCTGTTTCCCTTGTTTGTGGCCCCTAGGTCATGCTTCTTGGCTTGAAAGCCCAGTTTTCTTTATGTTTCTTCTGTCTGCCTTTGCCTCCCTCGCTTTCCTCTTATACTTTCTCTCCCTGTGTTGTCTTACTGCTCTGTTCTGTCCCTTTGTCCTCTGCCCGCTGCCCGCAGCTGCCTTTGCTTTTTGCAGCCTCTCTTTCAAGCCCCACATGCTCCTCCCCTCTTGTCACCCCCCCACTTAGTTTCTATTTTTCTACGGCTAGGTGGTTAAAAATCACTGTTTCATGTGTGAGAACATGTCTATTAATAGTAATTAATCATCTTAAGATTAGTGGAAGCTTCTAATTTCAAAGATTACTTCCTTAAAAGCCATCAAAGACCACTAAAGAACACTGTCTTGTTTATGGTATCCCTCCTGATAGTATTTCCAGTAGTAATCGTAACTAAAAATAATATTTTATTTTTCTTACTATGGCTGCTGTTTACTGAGGTTTTACCATTTGCCAAATATTATAAGTAGTTTTCCGTGTAGTCTGGGACTTTAGAAGGGCTGCCTAAGATGTGCAGAAGCCTGAGAAGTCAAACTTATTGCCAGTAACTTTTCCTAAACCTTGTCTTTGGTGCATGTCTTCTTAATCTTGCATGATAAAATTGGGAAGTACACATAAAACACCTTTGAACCTAGCACCTTTGAGTTGCCATCTGTCTTAGTTGTCTTTTTCATAGACCACTATATTTGTCTAAAAGAATGACTGATAAGTAAACCATTGTTATGCAAATTTAGTTACAGTATTTGGCAGATTATTTCCCTGTCCTTTTAGCCCTTGTTGCCCCCAAAATAAGATCTAACCAGAAAAAAAAAATCAGCCTTGAGAACTAGAGATCAAACTGCCAGCCCCAATCAGTCTGTCTTTGCCTTGCTTGCCATCGGTGTTCTCTTGCTTAGTGGCTACTCTGTAAGGCAAGTAAGGCAAGGACAGGCTGATTGGGCTTGGCAGTTTTGATCTCTAGTTCTGAAGGTTGGTTATTTTCCCGTTCGGTCTTTCTTTCAGGGAAACGGCATTATCTCTGGGACCCTGAAATAAAGGCAGTGCAAATGCAGAGGTAGACCCTATAAAATTTGGCAGCTGACTAGATGTGAAAGAAGAGGAAGTGAAGAAGCCATGGAATTTTCCTGAGCTTTTCGCTTAAGCCCATGGGAAGAATAGGTACCTGAAAAAGAAAAACATTGAGTTAGAATAGATTATGTTGACATGTTTACCGAAGGCCTTTTCACTGATACTACTCTCATTTGATTCCAGGATTCTTAGAATGTATAGACTTGGGCCTTTACTGCCTTTTTGGAAAATATGGCATGCATCCCAAGAACTCTCATTCAAGTTCAGAACTGCTAAGTGCCTTAAGAAAGGCTTAGTTCAAGTTCTATTGCTGTTCACAGAGGATACAGAGAAAATTTCATGGAAGAGGAAGCAGCTGAAAGGAATGTGGCAGAATGTGTGCAGATGATTGTGCAGAGACAAGGAAAATTCAGTTACAAGAAGAGAGTGAGAAGATGGCATATAAAGACAAGTAGCTGATATAGAGGTTGGGAGGAATGTATGTTGGTAGATAATGCGAAATGGTTTTGAAAATAATTAGTTCTGTAAATTATTGGAAATACTGGCTTCAGAGTCTGACAATAGTGAATACCATAATGTTGCATATGTGAGTATTTTTAAATGTCACTTGGCAAAACGACTTTTTTTTTTTTAATAATAGGTTATTTCTGTACAAAAATTATTTTTTATTGACTACATTAGGGATTTCAAGTTCACAAAATGGATCTTCTCAGATGTTGGTTGTAATTCTAGGGGATGATCCTGAATATTTTACTGTGCTTATATTTTTAGGGTTGTTTGTTCATTTTGACACAGGGTCTGGCTGTGTTGCCCAAGCTGGTCTCAAACTTAGGGGCTCAAGTGATCCTTAGCCTCCTGAGTAGCTAGGAGTACAGGCTTGTGCCACCATACCAGGCTATAACTTTATTTTTCATGTTTGTGGTCTTTAGATAACTTCTGTTTGCCTCTCATTTAGAAATTGTATCAAACCTTTAATACTTACTCACCAGCTTGAAATACTGATGACATGCATGACTGACCCATTGGAAACCTTGTACCACTGGTGGTACAAACAGTTCTAATCACTTTTATCACTCTTTTCACTAAAAAATTGATTTTTAAACAAGATATCTGATTGAATAGTCATGCATGTACTACCCAGCTGGAGTGAGACATGGAATTATGGTCCTATTGTGAATGTGTTATATTGCATTTTCACCTGAATTACATTCTTGTGTCTGTCCTCAAAAACTTGGCTCTAGAATTGGACATGATGGTGCACACCTGTAAGGCAGAGGCAGGAGGATTGCCACAAGTTTAAAACCAGCCTAAGCAACATAATGAGTTCAAGCCCAGCCTACATCATGTGTCACGAAAAAGAAGTTTGGCTTTGTCTTCCAAGTCTGTCTTCTCCTTTGGCATTAGTGTTTATTATTTTTGATTGCAGAATTAATCTGATTTGGGTGTTTATTGCTGTTTTCTCCTAGATAAGTCAGATAAATATGATCCACGTGATGTTGAAAGACTACAACAAGATGATAACTGGGTTGAAAGTTACTTACATTGGCGACATAATGCTGTGGACGAAACACTGAAGATGATTGATGAGAGTTTTCAGTGGAGAAAAGAGTTTGCTGTCAATGGTAAACTGTTCATTTTAACTTTGATAGGATAATATCACCTGCATGTTACTATTTTGTGTTTATCTAATTGTGTATTGTGTATTACCTATTATTAGCAGTCATTGTAAACACCAGAATATATTCGTATTTATAAAGATATGACAATACTTTCAGAGGAACCAGCATGTGAGAAAATCTTACAAAAGTAGGATCATTCTTAAGGAAATCAAATTCGCAGTGATCAGAATCACATTCAACAGTAGTCTCTTAGTCTATATTTAGTTGAATATCATTAAACAACAGCTCTAGAAATAAGGAGACACTGTTTTTCTCGGTTGTTGCCCATGTCTGTTCCTGTCCCCCAAGTTCTTGTGCTTATAAGTATTCCATGTAGAACTGCTAAATGGATAGGGATCTCGGAACAGCAAGCTTATCCCCAAGAGTGCTTATTGCAGCTTTCTCTTGAACTTCTCCATCTTTACATCCACTGTTAGATTGGAAATTCCCCCCCCAAATGGAAGTTCGACTCTTAGAGGGAATTTTATAATGATGTTCAAACAGATGAAGAATTTCCCTTCATAATAATTTACTAAGAAGAAGCTGGCATAACTACCAATTTCAAATAGCTATAAAGAAGGATTCCCTGTCCTAGAAGATTATAGACTCTGGAATGACTGAGGCTGAAGACCTAGTATAAACAGTCAGCAAATGAATCTAGAGCGGATACTCTGCAGTCTTCTTACTTGTACAAGGAATCCTTGAGGTAGGAAATATCAAAAAATGAGATGATTAGAAATATAAAGGTAATTTCAACAAACACTGAAGCACTTGTTAATCAGGAAAAAAAAAACTATAAATCTGATATTTTTAAATCATTGAAGTACAGAATAAACCTTTAAGCTAAATGCTATTTGTGTTCTTGCATAGAATTGCTAGTTTCAGGAGCAGAGAGATGGTAGGGGCGGGTATGGAAAGAAAATCTTTGCAGGTTCATGGAGTGGATGAAACAAAAGCTTTGATGTGGGGCTGCCCTGCCACATTGGTCCTCAGCTTTCCCAGAGACTGAACAGGGCTCCTGTTCCTCCTGCTAAAAGATCTTGCATTTTTTGTTTTTTCCACCTGCCTCAAAGTTATAAAGTGCATTAGAGTCTGCTAGATATCAAACTTCGTGTAAAAATACCATCTTACTAGAAAAACAAAAGTAATTTTTTCATTAATTCTAAAGCTATGTGACCATTTAACAACATGTTTTTTTTTTCCACCCAGGGCCTCTTGTATGCTTAACATGCAATCTGCCACTAAGCTACATCCTAAGTCCTAATCGTTTCACTGAAATTTTTTATTAGTGATACAGTAGTTCACAAGTTAAACCATTATGTGAGATATTAAGCAGAATGTGGAAATATAGCCACATAAATAGTAGCTGACACATTAAAGGAAATGAACTTTCTCATTTTCTATCACCTGTTTGTCCTTAGCATGTTTACTTTTTTATCACCAGAGTTCTTGTCAGATGTTTGAATAAGTTGTATCTTTTTTTTATTTCAGAACTACTATATAACATTACCTTTAACATTGTGAGTTTTATTTTTAGGAGCCTAAATTATAGTTTCTGATGAAAATTTACTGCTTTTTAGACCTTAATGAATCCTCCATTCCCAGATGGTTATTAGAAGTTGGTGGTGTTTACCTCCACGGTTATGACAAAGAAGGAAACAAATTATGTAAGTATATTTAATTTATGCACTGGCTTTTCAAGATTTTTAGATGTGGGTATTTGTCTCAGTTGAATTAATAATTATCAGAACTTTCTCCACATGTAGCATATGGCAAGCTCTGTGCAGTTAAGTATCATTAGGGCTGTCTTTACAAGGTGTCACATATCAGTAGTTTTTACAAGTATGTGATAAAAGCAAATACTGTAACAGAGCTAAATAACTTGATTTACAGTCATTGTCTTCTTTCTGATTTAACTATGTAGTGTCACTATTTTACCTAGTGTTTTTATGGAGAATCTTTTTGGAAATCACAAAAGGTTGCTAAATGGACTCAACCCATGTCTCCCATAATCTTCTCCCCTTAACTTTTTCTAAAAGAACTATAATAACTAGAGGAACAATAACAGCCATTTTGGTTGTTCAGATGACTCTCTTGTTGTCCTCCTTTCCTGAATGCCCAGAGTCCAGCTTACCTTCATAGCAAGTGTGGGTCTTGGCAGGCACTTTTGAAGCCTGGACTAAACACACACCCTGTGCTCATCTTGCTTGCCTTTTTTGAAGCTTGTGATCTGGGCTATATTTTGGCAATATTCTCTTTGTATATTCTTTTTTATCACCACCTCATACTTTCCAATCTTTCTTATAACTCTTGTGTCACCTCTCCCTAAACCGTGTTTCCCAGGCTTCATTCCTTTCTTGACCTCTTTTGCTTTCCAGCTGATGCTGTCTCCTTAAGTCATCTCAAGCACACTGGCAGCTTCAGCCTCCTCCCTAAATACAGTGAGTGTCTTACACACTTCCCAGACCACGTGCATATACCCACATGCCCACCTGCTGGTATTACTTTATTGTGTCTGAGCTGAGGCAGCTGAAGCTGCCTTCAACAAAACCCCCATCTGACCTTCAACATTTTACCACTCACTTGCCCTCTTTGTGAACTGCCCATTTGTTGCCCCTGCCTCTACTACAGCCTCAAATTGGCTCCTTTCTGTTACTAGGAGCCACTTCCTTAGTTCTAGGCTTAAGTACCACTCAATTCTTGGTTCTTAGTCCCTTCCCATACTGTAGCCTATTAGGCTGCATTCGCCCCTTCTTCCACTCTACCCTCCCTCCACCTGTCCAAGAGGTGTTTTGAAATAGGAAAATCAAAATGCCTTAGCCATTTCCAAGTTCCTCAAGCCTGGCCTATCTCTGTTTAGCACCTTTTATCCCCACTTACCACATCTTGTGGCTGTTGCCACCACCTGAAGGGTTTGCAGTTCTCTTCTCACATGCCCAGCTTCCATGCAGTGCCTTTCCTGTAGGATGAACATGGTATTCTAGTGTTTGACAGAACCATTGGCTTTCTTTTTCAGCTCATTGTGGAGCACTTTTAGGTTATTGCCAAATAGTGTTTGCTCACCTGTATGTTATTTTTCTCCTTACTTAAAAGTGAAGTCTTTGTATTTCCCAAAGGAAAGAAAACTAGTTTAACTCTGCTACTCTTTAATTTGAAGGTCTCAAGTGTAGGTATTTCTCATTTAAAAGAAAGAAGAATTTTTTAAATCTATGAAACAAAATAAATTATAAGTGAAGAAACATGTCAAGCGAAAGGCTATATATGTATAATAAAATACTCTAAAACTTGTTCTAATTTTTATCTTTTGTCCTGCTTAAAGTCTGGATCAGGGCGAAATATCATATAAAAGACCAGAAAACCATAATGGATAAAAAGAAGCTTATAGTATTTTGGTTGGAACGTTATGCTAAGAGAGAAAATGGGAAACCTATCACGGTGATGTTTGACCTGTCCGAAGCTGGTCTAAATACCATAGTAAGTATTTCTTATTAATTCTAAATCATTGTTTATCCTGGCTTCCTCCCTCTTCTGTCTTCCCTGCCAGCTAACTAACTTAGATTTGGGAGATATATATATATATATATATTTTTTTTTTTCTTACAGTATGAAGTCAATCATGGAATTTGGTTTGCAGACAATTAAATTTGCTTTAGTATTTCATATTCATATTAGATTTCCTGAAAATATTCCGTATCTTATGTGCAGGGTGGTGCGGTAGGATGTCAAAGCTGGCAGGGCATGCAATGATGTAACAGTGAGCTTTTCTACCAAGACATATCCTACAGTAACCACCCCTGTGCCTGGCACAGAAGAACACAGTATATACTGAGAAAAGTCATGCATGGTCTTTATGACATTACATTTATACCGTGTTTTACAATATAAGATTTTTGTATGTGCACATATGGCATTTTATGATTCTATTGGCTAACCTTATTTGCTTATTTGAGTTTGTTTTCTGTTTGATTTGGCTGGCTTTGGATATTTGTTTTCTTTAGGTAATTTTGCCAACCTCAAAAAATAAGTGAGTCACTAAACAAAGTGGCACATTCCTATAATCTAAACATTCAGAAAGCTGAGGTAGGCAGATCACTATGAATTTCAGGCCAGCCTGAGCTATACGTAGTGAGACTCTGTCTGAAAAAAAAAAAGTCAAGTAGTCAAGTGTAATGGCATACACCTACTGTCAACTACTTGGGAGGCTCCAGCAGGGAGCCCAAGAGTTCTAGGCCAGCCTGGGCAACATAGTAAGATACCATCTCAAAAAGAAAAATTATCAAAATAGTCTTTAATTTGGGCTTTTTGTTCTTAGTGGTAACTATAAACCCTTTAGCAGCAACTGAGATCAGTTGGTTCATTTTTTTCTAACTGTTGATTCTTCATGTTTAAACAATGGCTAAGTCTGGTAGCAATGAAGTGGCATTTGTAGACCTACTCAGAGATCTACTGAAATCCTGGAAATCCATTTGGAACAGTATGTTAAGAAAAATGTTGGTACTTATCCTATTTTCTTAGTAACTAACTGTTGGAAACCTAAAGAAAAAATCCTGAAGACAGAAAATGCATTGCACACCAAAACGTTTTTCAGAATGTCATTTAAAATATGAAAAATTAGGAAAAACAAACATCCTTTATGATAAAATGCTAAATTATGATATTCTAGTTGATAGTATATATGTAGCTATGGAAAATGTTTATAAAGAATTTGTGGGAATATTAAACAATACTTTTAATGAAAAAGGCTATAGCCCCTGCCCCCAAAAGCAAACATTAGACTTAAATAAAAAACAGGCTAGAAAAAAACTATTAAGAAGCTTTGGGGGTAATGAAACCACAGGTTCTATTTTCATGTTTCTATTTCTCTTTGCTTTTTAAGAATCTAGTGCCATGGTTTTTTCCAACCTAGTTTCCACATGAATGGGCTTTAAATTATAGAATATTTTATGTTCAAAATATAATCGAATTACCTAGATGAGTAAATGTAAATCATACTTCTCTTGTCCTTTGAATAGTGAGCCTCTTATTTAGTAACCCAGAACCATGAAAAATAAATGCTAATGTTTTCTGTTACCAAGAAAGGGTTAGAAAATTGACTTGAGCTGTACTTTTCAGGCTTTTTATGCTATCTCATCATGTTTAATAGGTAAATGAAGTATTTGTATTACTAAATATTTCAGTCATTATTGTTTTAACTTACTTTAATCTTAGTGGGAAATTTATTTTTATATATGACCCTTTCATGATTCACAAAGAATTTAAGTCAGCTTGTAAAGATATATGTAGAATTACAAGGCCAAACAAAAGCAAATCATTTGTTAGCATAGGCTACCAGTTTGACTACCTGCATGAAAGAAATAGAATCATTTAAAATTATATAGTAGCCATTTTTTAAAACCAGTGTTTTAGGAGAAATGTTCATTTCTGACAGTTGAATCAGAAGAAAAGTCTTTCTTGAGTTCTCAAAAGAAGGATATTTTACATGATTAATTGCTAATACATTCAAAACCAGAAGCACTCTTAGAATGCAGAGCATTCTTTTGTTGCTAGAAGATTAAAGCATTCTCATGTTCTTAGAACATGGAAATAACCAGCTTCATCCTATCAAGTCCACCCAAATTAGCAGTAACTCAGGATTTCATGAACAGGGTTAGTACTCATTCTTAGTTATTTTCTTTGACTCTTACTTAACTACCAATTAGAGAACTGTACACAGTGCATCTAATAATTTGTACAGTATTATTACACACTAGGATTTTTCCCATAATAAATCCTTAAGACAGGTAAGCACACTTAATTTTAGTTTACTGCAGTTAAAGCTGCTGTAACTCATATGTCAGGCGTGACTTTATAGCTGCTCATGTCTAGAGCAACCCACATTTCAGTGGGTGTGCAAGATTTTGCTTTGCCTGCTTATGTCTTTCATCCAGCAGCCTTTATAAGGTGGCTGATCAGGATTAATGAGACAGCCTATGACAATGAAGTAATACAAAACGAAATGTGAATAATATCCCTAATGACCCAATTTCCTGTTACTATTTTCAAAGCATTAGAACTAACAGGATAACTATATTTATAAAGTCTCCTAGAAATTAGACTCAATGAAACAACCCTGAGTACAGCTAAAGATCTAATTTGAGATTCCTGAATAAAGGGCAAGAAGCCAGAAGTAAAGTAGATAGAGCAGGTCAATGTGATCAGAAGTAAAGTAAACACAGCAGTTCAGTGTGATAAGATTAACTTGTATATTTTATTGAACATATTTATTGAGGCCTAAAAGTTAGGTTTAGAAAGTAAATACTGTACTGGAGTTTAGATACACATACTATTACTCCAAGTAGTCAGGTTTTAAACTCTATGCATACTTGCTGCAATAATGTGTTAGTTCAATAGATTTTTAGAATTTTTCTGTAGAGATTGCTTTTAAATCCACAGCTTGTTGCCTTAGCAGTCTGAAGTGCTAACTAGTTTGAGGCAATAATTTTAAAACATGGCTAAGAATCTGATTTCCTTATCTGAATTTTAGAACTGAATATTACAAATTGATTAATAATGTATTGCCTTAATCCTTAAAAATATAGACATTTATATATGAGCTTATATTTTAAGAACTTATACTTAATTGTATTTAATAGTTTATCACCTTTAGAAATGTGCAGTTTCAAGTCCTCTAATGTGAGCAGTCTTAAAGATTTAATCTTTATTTTAGGACATGGAATTTGTACGCTTTATCATCAACTGCTTTAAGGTTTACTACCCTAAATACCTCTGTAAGTAACTTACTTCTTTATAAAAATTAAACTGTAGACAATGTCTGAGGATTGTGGAGCTTTACATTTTTATAGTCTTTTATAGCTAAAATATTGTTTTATGATGAAGTTTTAAGTGTGTTACTAGAGAAAGAAAATTTTTTCACAAGTAATCATTTCCTTTGAAGTTTTACACTTTAACTTGATCTGTATGTATGGAACCCTGTAACACATATATAGGTAGATACAGGCATACATTTATTTACAAGATTATCCCATAATTACTGATTTCCAACTTAAAAATTCATTTAAAATAGTATTATATGGAACTTTTCACATGCAAGAATAAGCAATATTGGTAAAAGACATTGGACAATACATGATACCAAAGTACATTGTATTACTAGTTGCTATTTGGGAATTATCAGAAAATAGCTTCACGGAAAGATACGACATTTGAATTTTTGTTGGATTTATGTGATGGAAAAAAATCTACCAACCTACATATGTAGGAAATTCACAGATCTGCCTGGACATAGTCCTGATGAATACCCCAATTAAGGTGTATGAGACTCATGACTCAGGTAATACCAAAGCATAAAGTCCCTAAATTACCTTCCTTTGCCATGCTTTTATATTACTGTTGATGTGAAGTGAGGAACAGAAAAAAGCAATAGTGACACATGTCTTCACAGAGATTATTTGTGAATGGTCTTAGATAAACAGAATGATCAAACCCTGTGAGATCTGTTGTTCCTTATAAGTTTTTCCTGTATGTAGGTTGTATCTTAATTCAGCAATACTTGCTGATCAGTGCTAGTCAGAGTTTTAATAGGGAATCACTAATTATTACTAGTGGTTCCTCTTATTGACAAAACTATTACTATCAACCTGTTCAAAGGAGTTTGTGCAGTGACTTAGAAATAATATAAGTATTATTTTATAATAGACAAGATTCTTTTGATAAAGTTATTAATAAATTTGTTGTCTTAAGTATTCATGGTTCATTTAAGTTAACTACGGATAATGTGCGCATATATATGTTCTACCAACATAATGTAGTTTTTTTATGTACTCAATTTTGTGGAATCTTAAATTGATTATTCCTCAAAATCTGTCATGAAATACAACTGCCATAGTTTAAGTATATATCAGGTGAAGATGGAATTTAAGCACCACGCTTCTCTTTTCGGATAACTTGTGTTCTTTCGTATGTAGTTTACTTGAACTACATTAACATAACCAACCTAAGAGATTCTCTATTCAGGGAAGAGTACAGTTGCATATTGATTCATTTAATAGAAGACTGAGTTGGATATCAGAAATCTCTTTTGTGGCTTCTTGGTCTTTCTCACAGTTGTTAATAAGACTGTTTAATATCTTCAATTCAGTATGTAAATAATATTCCCATACGCTTTGGAATTATTGGCTTCCTGAAACTTATAATATTAAGTAAAAGCATTTTTTTCTTAAAGCATAATAATTTATTAATAGGGAAAAGGATAACTGTGATACTGGTTTAACAGTAAAATCTCTAGAAAATTTTAATTGCAGCTGTGAATTATATATGAAAAACACATGACAGGGAATTTCTGTCCCTGTCAGCACTAATATGACATAGCCTATCCAGAGACTCCACTTACCCATTTATCTATTTTCTTTTGTACCTTTTTGTAAACAATGAAAGCAATAAAAGAACAAAGAAACAGGCTGTTTGCCAAAGGACTGGAACAGTGCTTTATTAATTTCACACAAGTCTTCTTCCAGGGCAGGCCCATCAACACTGTGAGGTATTAGTACATTCCTGGCACCACGCACGCATCACTAAATTAGGGCTTAGTCAATTGAGTTGGTTTTTAGATACATTTAAGTTACTGGTTTTTCTAAGCTAAATATAAGTGATAGTATAAAGGTATAAATCACGTTCAGTTAAATTTATTTATCTTTCAGCAAAAATGGTGATCTTTGATATGCCTTGGATAATGAATGGTAAGTGTATTATATTCTTCTAAAATAAAATGTCTGATTTGCTTTTTCTGTGCCAGCTTAGCCTTATTACTATAGCTGTTTAAAGAAATGTTTATATTGTCTTTGGTGTACACCTTTAAGAGACTGGAGCTAGACTGGTCCTAAGCAAATGAGGCTAATGTTCTGTCCCACAGACTCTGGGATTATTCACTAATATTTCCTGAAAACAGCCTCAAAATATGCAGCCATTTTACTTAAACTATAATGAAAACTCTCAATATATCAACCCACATATAGAATATGTCACAGAACACAGGTCTTAGCTAGATTTTCTCAACAACTTCAAGTGTTGAGGATGAAAGCGAGATGAATGTAACATTCACTCCAAATCATTGTATTCACATGGTCTTTTTGACAGTCATAGGTGAGATAGCTTTGAAAAAAACCATTGACAAATATTTTACCAACTTCAGAGATATTGTAAATTTAATGTTATTCTCTGAATGTGCATTAATTGTCATTGGTGTTTTTAAGAGGCATTTGTCACATAGAAAACAATAGGGAAAAATCAACGAGTAAAATTTGATTCTTTGAAAACTTCAATACAATTGGCAAACATGTACCTAAACTGATATAAAACAAACTTAAATTAATAAAATCTGGAATTAAAACACACATCAGTACTGACTTTAAAGAAGTAAAAAAAGATTATAAGTGAGTGCTGTGAACAAATATATGCCAAGAAATTAGAAAACCTGTGAACTGGATAAGTTCTTACAAATTCACCAACTATTGACACGTCCTCAAAAGAGTCAGAATGAAAGTATAGCAGAATTGAGTTAGTAATGGCAAAGCATCTGACAAAGAAAAGCTCAGCCTCAGATGGCTTCCCTAGTAACTTCTGTGAATTAGAGAAAAATTAATAGTAATCCTTTGTAAACAGTTATAAAAAATAAATGAGGAGGAATACTTCCCAACTCATTCTGTGAGGAAAATACAGTCCCAATTCCAAACATAGAAAAAGTAAAGTACAGTACATACTTATAGATCTGAACCCATATGAATATAGCTGCACCAGCTCTCAGAAAGTACTAGCAAAGTGAATTCAGCAGAATATAAAAGCTTTGTATACTACAACCAAGTGGGATTTACTCAAGAATGTAAAGTTGTTTCAACATATGAAAACCTGTAAGCTGCTGTATTCATAGGACAAAGAAGGAAAATTACGTGATCATCTATCTCAATGGACACCAATAAAGCATTTGAGAAAATCTAGTAGCCTGGTATAGTAAAAGTACTTAATAGACCAGGAACAAGAAGTATTATGTGAACTTGATTGACACCCTCCTAATTGATTTGTCTCCAGTATATCTTAGTGTCGGTTACCCAAAGCCCCTAAACCTAAATCACAAATCAGTCTTCCCTCCATAGCCAGCTCTCACCCTCAATATTTTGACCCAGCGTGATCCAGGCCCCCCAAGCAAATATAGACATTCCTAGAAGACATGAAGATTACTTCTAGGAAGCTGACAGCATAGGACTCTGAGGCTAATTCACTTCATGGCAGAGAACTTGCTGAGCCTGATAAAGGGCATCTGTGAAAACCCACAACTAACATCATTTGTAAATTATATCTGAAAGCTGTTTTAAAAATCATATTTAGCACATTATTTAATTCTAGCAGCAAAACTTCAAACCTGTCAACTCACACGCTTTTAAAATTGAAATTAATGAAAATCTAAATATTATTTAAAAAATAAAAACACACTTGAACCCAGTGAGCCAAAGTAAAAATGTACTTTTCTGAGCTGCTATTTAATGGTTCTAATGCCTTTCTTATTTTCTGTTTTATTCTTTTGACACTTTTGCATATCTAATTCTACTTTTAGTTGCTTTAACATGGGCTTTTGAGTGTCACATTAGAAATGAGGTTTAAAAAATGAAGCATACTTAAGAAATGGCATGAGAACAAGACTGTAATTACCAAACAGCTGCATCTGATAACAGTTTTTTCTTGTAGCTTCTGTAAGTTCATCACAGTTATTAAACCACAGGCCCTGGAAAAAAGGCAGTTTAGAGTTAGGAAGAAAATGTGGGTCTAGTTCACACCCCTACTGAGGGCTACTCCCTTCTCTTCCTGACTTTTCCTTGAGGAAGGCTTTTCCCATTGAGTGTTTATCAGAACCGTAAGGCTGTTCATAGAGTATGCGTGTCTTCCCTAGGTCATGGGACAGTTTGATTAAGAGAGCTAGAAATCTTAGTAATTTAGATTATTGATGGATGTATTCAGAGCTCAAAACCCTGATAAGTTTCCTAAAAATCATCCTGGTAACTAAATCTTCATGGAACATTTGAAACCTATAAGGGATAGTCACAGCAAGACCTGGGTTAGCACATACAAAAAAGTAATTAATAAAGAAAATGAAAAGAATTTTAAAGATGTGACTTTTTCCTTCAGCTGCTTTCAAAGTTGTGAAAGGCTGGCTTGGCCCAGAAGCAGTGAGTCTGTTGAAATTTGCAACTAAAAATGAAGTCCAAGACTATGTCAGTGTAGAATACCTGCCTCCACACATGGGTGGAACTGTAAGTATAGTCCTTGAAATGTGTTTATGAAATAATTCAGGCTAACAGTATATAAGACTGTATTCTTCCAAGGAAAAAAGAAAAGCGGTGACACAGATATGTTTCACTTAAATTCTAAAGTTATCTTTAGTGTTGGGTGCATAATATGTTTATGTGGTTCTAAACTGAAGAGCATTGTGTATTCAGGAGAGTATTCAGAAACAAGTTTTTAGTAAAATGTTTCCTCATACTCTTAGCCCAGCCACCCTTTTCTCTCCCCTAGATGTATGTCTTACAATAATTTCTAGAGGATTGTATAGCATATATAAGCAGTAAGTATACATGAGTCTTCCTTTCTCCTGGAACCTTTGAACAGTGTATTTATACACTATTAATCTTGCTTTTTTTCTTAACATCATGCCCTAAATATCATTCTAAATCAGTATGTTGTAAGCTTTCTTGCTTTCGTTCATGGCTACATAGTATTCAAGTGTCACATGACCTATAACCTCCTGAATTTTTTATGGTGTCTTTGGTTTTTCTTTTAATTTTCTATTGAACAAGTTTCAGCCACTAAGGTGTTTTCAGCATTCAAGATTTTTTAAATGGATTTTTAATTCTTAAAGATAAGGCAGTTTGGAGTAAGTGGGTGCATGCTAAATTTTTAATGATATAACAATGATACCTATCTTGACAGTGACCTTTTTATAAACTCTAAAACCTACAGATTTGGTATGTTATCGGTTAACTTCATCATAGTTCACTTACTTAATTTGTACAGTCCACTTTGTATACTTTCTGTTGGTAAAAGTTGTGTTTAATGAGAACCAAGGACTGTACAATAAAAAGTTTTGGTATGTCCTCCTGTTTGCTTTGATTAGAATCTTTTGCTTTCCTATTCCAGGCTTTATATTTTACATTTTAACCTAGAAAACCAATATAGTCCCATTCACTAGCTTGATTCTTTCTACGGTTCTAGTCGCAAATCAATTTGGCCAAGAACCAAATCAAGTTGAATGATTAGATTCAATGTTGACCTAATGAGCAAATTTGATTCAGTTCTAGTCTATTTTGATTTGCAACCAGAATCATGGAAAGAGTTAAGTTTGTAAACTGACATACCGTTGTACCGTTCATTTTAGATACTACATTTGTTTATAGTACTAAGTATAATATCTAAAAATCACAGTACTGATTTTGACATGTTGTTTTTAATAATTTATCTATCTTGGGTAGTATTTAGTAAAAGTGATTTTTATGTATAAAGAAGGCTATTTCCACTTTTCTTTTGCTGGTGATATATTTTGAGGACTGTATGCAAAATGGTAAGATTATTAGCTTTTTAACACATTCTTCTTTTGAAGGGTCATTTCTTGTTTTATGATCTTCTGCCATAATCTTGTAAATACCACTTGGTATATAAGTACAACAACTACATGTCTAGAAGTAAAGTCATTATGTGAATGGGTATATTTAATGATTAGTTTTGGTAGCCGTTTCCAAATACTTACCAATAAAGTGTGGAAACACTTAAGCTGTATTTCCTTGCCAGTACCACATGTTCTCGTTTTTGTAATCTTTGCCTGTCTCAGATGAAAAATATTCATTAATTTTCATTTCTTTATTAAACTCTTTATTATGATTTAAAAGACATCTCTTCTTTTTATATGAGGCCTGTACCATCCTTTCTAACCCCTTTTTCTGGTGGGTTCTTATTCCTTTTCCTCTTGATTTTTTTTAATAAAAAATATCTTTGTTTCTGTTATGTGTGGTACATATTTTTCTAGTTGTGACCCCTTTAAAAAGGGGGAAAACTATGCTTGTTTTTAGCTTTTTGGTTAGTTGATTGGTTGAGTTTTTTGTTTTGTTAGGTTTTTCAGTGCTAAGGATTGAACCCAGGGCCTTGTGCATGGTAGGCAAACTCTGAACCACTAAGATGCATCTCCAGCCCATTATTGGTATTTTTGTGCTTTTCTAGGTTTTGTGCCATGTAGAAAGGCCGTGCGTTCTTAAGATGTGTTTGTTCATTGTTTTTAATCCTCTTCTGTTTTGTTCCAGTACTTTTCATGGTTGAAAAAACACAAACAGGGACATTTCAAGTTTTTGTCCATCTGAAATTCTTTCTGGTGTAAAGAGTGAGCTAAATTTAAGATCTAAATTGATTTTTTTAGACATACAGCTTGTGAGTAGCTCACAATGCTTATTGCTCTTTCACTTTCTGGTTTGAAATGCTTCTGTATTTTAAATTTCACTACCTAGTTAAGTCTGGTTTTCTCTTTTATTAATTTTATTAGAACAGTTTAGATACACATAATGACCACATTCATCATAGAGAATTTGTACCTATACATGACATGTATTGATTCCTCTCTTTTTCCCATTTCCCTGTCCTCTTTTCAACTCCTCTTCCTCTTTTTTACAAAACTTTGTTTCCATTTTTTCCTTCTTTTCTCATTTTTTTCTTTTCCCTTCCTTCCTTTTCCCCTCGTCCTAGTTCCCCTTTCCTTCTGAACAGTGTCTTCCTATTTCACAATACCTGTTATACATTTTGGTTCTTATGCTTTCAATTTCTCACATCAGAAAAATGAAATGTTTACTCATTTGTGTCCAATTTATTTCACTTAAGAATATGGCCTCCAGTTCCATCCATTTTGCGATAAATGTCTTAAGTTTATCCTTCTTTATGACTTGGCCAAAGTAATGAATTTTAAAGCTGTTATCAGAGAATTACTTTTCCACTGAACGTTTTGCAGGCTGACATGAAATCTTTTTCTTTTAGGACCCTTTCAAGTATACCTACCCACCCCTGGTTGATGATGACTTCCAGACGCCACTGTGTGAAAATGGGCCTGTTGCCAGTGAGGATGAGACATCCAGTAGAGAAGACATAGAAAGTGACGGTAAAGAAACTTTGGAGACAGTTTCTAATGAGGAACAGGCAACTCTTCCAAAAAAGGTAATTTTATGAATTAGATCAAAATCTGTAGTCTAGCCTCAGTTCTACCATAGCTAGCTGTGTGATTTTGTATAATTCACTTAACATGCTGCCTTTCTGTATCTTTGTAAAATGAAAGAAGGATGAGTTGAGTTGATTGGTAGCACCACCTTCAATGTATAGAATGCTGAGCCCATGCTTTCTATAAAACTGGTAGAATGCACCTGAAAAGAAGGAATTGTTTTACATTTTTATTTGTCTAAGATAAAAAATAAACTGATTAATTTAAAATCATACCTTAGCCAGGGATTTAGCTCAGTGGCATAAGTGCCTGCCTGGCAAGTGTGAGGCCATGAGTTTGATCGCTGGTACCAAAATAAAAAAAAATCATACCTTTTTTCATTTTCTAGTAGTGCTAAGAATTTAAGTGGAAGCCTCACATACGCTAGGCAAGCACTGTACCATGTTCCTGGCTATTTTTTTTTCTCTTTAATTTGAGACAGGGTCTCTAAGTTACACAGACTGCCCTCAAACTTGTGATTCTCCTGCCTTGACCTCACATGCAGCTGGGATTATAGTATGTGCCACTGTTACTCAACCTCTAGGCCATTTTTTTAAATTTTCTTGGAACATTTTAGATATAAGTAATGGTAACATTTATAGGAAATTTGTTCTGTGCATGGCATATCTTAATTTCTCTTTTTTCCCATTTGCCTCCCTTCGCTATTAACCCCTTTTCTTCCTTATTTAGCTTGTCTCTTCTTTACTTGCCCCCTGCTCCCACCCTTGTTCTGTTTCTCACTTGAATATTTTCATCCCATTTCCATATATCTGTTGTACATTTTCATCCTTATTTGTACATTTGATTTCTCACACTAGACAGGTAATGTGGTATTTGCACATTTGTCTGATAAATCTCAATTAATAGCATAGTTTCATGGTGCCTCCATTTACCTAGAAATGTCTGTATTATCCTTCTTTATGGCAAAATAGCACTCTGTCATATAAAAAAACCCACATCTATTCATTCATCAGTTGATGGGCATTTGGGCTATTTCTAAGATTTAGCTATTATAAACTGTACTGCTGTAAACATGATGTTTATATCACTATGATATGATGATTTTAAATCTTTCAGAAAGATAGCATCAAGAGGAATACCTGGCTCAAATGAGACCTCTAGTTTTAGATTTTTGAGGAATCACCATACTAATTTCTACGATGGCTGAACCTGTCTACACTCCTACCAACGGTGGAGAAGGGTACTTTTTCCCCCACAGCCCACCAGCATTTGATTTCTTGATAATTGCCATTCTTTCTGGAGTGAGATAGAATGTCACCATTGTTTTACTTTGCATCACATCGACCAGTGACGTCACATATTCTTTCATGTATTTATTTGCCATTTCTACTTACTCATCTGGGAAGTATCTGTTCACTTCAGATACCCATTTTTGGGTTGGGTTTTAAATTTGGTGGGTCTGATTTTTTTTTTTTTAGTTTTTTATATATTCTAGACATTAGTCCTTTGAGGAACAGCTGGTAAAATTTTTTCTAACTGTGAGTTGACCCTTCACTCTGTTGATAGTTTCTTTTGCTGTGCAAAAGGTGTTTAATGAGATCCCAGTTGTCGATTCTTTGTTGTATTTTCTGTTCATTCAGGCTTTTGTTCTTAAAGGCTTGCCTATACCAGTGTCTTCAAGAATTCTTCCTATAGTCTCTCTTTCAGCAGATTTAGTGTTTCAGTTTTAATATTTAGTTCTTTGATCAATTTTTATTTTTGCTTAGACCATGGTGAGAGATGTGGGTCTAGTTTTAACCTTTGGCATGTGGAAAACCAGTTTTTCTAGCACCATTTTTAAAGAAGCTTTCTTCCAGTGAATATGTTTAGCCCCCTTGTCAGAGATAAGGTGTCTGATTATGTTTGGAGTTGTTCCTGCATCTTGTAATCTATTCCATTGATCTTCAGGTCTGTTTTTTGCCAGTACTATCAGTGTCCCCTACAGTGATCCTCCACTCTTCTGTGAGGTATTACAGAATATGCAAGACAAAAAGAACAAAAGACAGATAGCAAGCTGTGGGGATCTGGGATGGCCAGTTGTTCACAGAGAACAAAACGCCATGAGGCGGCCAAAATTTCAGCTTTTTTTGATTGAAGAGGGGACTGTTGATAACTCAGAGTGCAGTGGTAATCTTTAACTAATAAGGAGCTTGCCCTGGAGCGTCTTTATTCTTAGTATTCTTAGTAGATGGGAAAGGATGACCCATCCCCAAAGGAATAATGGGAAATCTCAGAAGGATGATACCAAGAATCCCACGCCTCCATTCATTCATCCCTTAGGAAAACATAAAAATAGTCATTTTGAGTTTGTGATCCCCAACACAGTACCATTCTGTTTTTATCACAATAGCTTTGCAGTATACTTTCAGGTCAGGAATTATGACACCTCCACTCTTACTTTTGTTGCCCAAAATTGATCTTGCTATTCTAGGACTTTTCTGGTTTTCAAAGAATTTTAGTATTATTCTAATTCTGTGCGATACGCTATGGGTATTTTGATCGGGAATGCATTAAATCTATATAGCAATTTTGGAAGTATGCCCATTTTCACTATATTGTTTTTTTCCAACCTAAGAACAAAAAGATAGTTTTCCATTTTCTGGTATTCTATTTGATCTCCTTTTTCATGGTACTATGGTTTTCAGTGTGAAAGTCTTTTATTTCATTCATTAGATTCATTCCTCAATATTTATTTTTTTGGATGCTGTTGTGAAAAGTGTTTTTTCCCTAATTTATCTCTCCCTCATTGAGTTTGTCATTTGTGTACAGGAATGCTATTGATTTTTAATTATTGACTTTGTAACCAACTACAATACTGAATTTAGAAGTCTTTTGATGGAGTTTTTGGGCTCTTTTATGTAGAATGTCTTGTCATCTGCAAATAATAATTTAACTTCTTCCTTTCCTATCCTTATTCCTTTTATTTCTATCTCTTGTCTAATTACTCTGGCTACTGTGTCCTGAACTACATTGAATAAGAGTGGCAATAGTGTACTTCCTTGTCTTATTCCTGATTTTAGAGTGAAAGCTTTCAGTTTTTATCCATTTAGTATAATGTTGACAAATAAAGACCATCTATTCCAATTTGCTATGGGGTGTTTATCAACAATGAGTGTTGGATTTTGTCAAATGTTTTCTGCATCTCTTGAGATGATCATATGGTTTTTCTCTTACTATGATGTATTACATTTATTGATTTGTGTATGTTGAACCATGCCTGCATCCCTGGGATGAGTCCTACTTGATTGTTTAGTATAATGTTCTTGATGATCTACTGCATTCTATTTGCTGAGGATTTTTACGTCTGTATTCAGTAGGGAGATTGGCCTGTAATTCTCTTTTTTGGTTGAGTCCTTCTCTGGATTTGGTGTCAGAATCATGCTTGCCTCCAGGAATGAATTTGGGACTATTACTTCCCTTTCAATTTCATTAAAGATTTGGAGAATTAGGTCTTCTCTATGCTTCTCACAGAATTCAACAGTGACTCTGTCAGGGCCTTGACTTTTCTTTGTTGTTAGATTTTTAATTATAGCTTCAATTTCAGTGATGGATGTTGGTGTGTTTAGATATTTTTATCTTCTTGATTCAGCTTTGGTAATTAAGTGTCTAGGAGTCTGTCTATTTCTTCTGTGTTTTCATATGATTAGAATACATACTGTTGATCTTTTGGATTTATATAGGATCTGTTGTGATTTTACCCTTTTTATTCCTAATACCATGGATTTGAGTCTTTTCCTTCCTTTTTTGATACAATTGGCTAAGGATTTGTCAATTTTATTTATTTCAAAGAATCAAGTCTTTGATTCACTGATTCTTTCAATCTTGTTGAAGGGGGTTTTTTTAGGGCTTGAAATATTTCCCTTGAAGCTCTTCTTGACTTAAAGTGTGTGTTGAGAAATCTGCTGTGATTCTGGTGGCCTTTCCTTTATAATGATTTCTTTATTTTCTCTAACAGTTTTTAATATTCTGTTCTTTTGTTGATTTCTGAAATCTTCATTATTACAACCTTGGCGTACTTGTTTTTTAATCATGGCTAATTTGAGTTATCTATGTCTCACTTATCCATATGTCAAATTCTTTTTCTATGCTTGGGAAATTTTCTGCTATTACTTCTGTCAACAGGTTTTTTATGTTTACACTCTATCCTGCTTTTTTTAATTAACTTTAATCATCTTGTTATTATTCTTTGTATCATCTAGCAGCTGTTAAATTGATTTTTCATGAACCTTTGTTATTTTTAAGAAATCTGTCTTTCCATGATTGCTAACTGCAGTTGTCTTCTATATCTCATATTCTGTCCTCACATTGGTTGATTCTGCTGTGTATACTTTCAACGGATTTTTTTAAATTTCTTGGATATCTGTTTGAATGTCATGGACTCTGTTTCTTTCCAATGTTGGGCATTAATGATTTCCATCATTTTTCTGAGCTCCATTTTTTTTTGTTGCCCATGATTGAATTCACAACCTTGCACTTGCCAGGAAAGTGCTTATACCACTGAGCTAAATCCCCATTCCCTAAGCTCCATTTTTTTGTCTGTATCTGCTCTGGGGTCACGAACCAAGTCTTTCATTATGGTCATATGAGGAATTATTTCTGATCTGATTTTTTTCTAGACCCTCATTCATCTGCTTTGTTCTGTTCCCACTTCAGAAAGCCTAGTTGGGTAACTTTTGAATTGTTCTACCTCATAGCGCCCTGGGTTTTTGTTTGATGAGATGGAAGTCTCAGGTTGCATCTTGATGACATATCTTCTCATTTTCTATCTTTTTTAAGTTTAATTCCTGGGTTTATGCTTGTATATTGCTTATGGCAAGTGGCTTTATTGCTAGTATTTAGAACCCTTAGGAAACCAGTACTTCTCAGAGATGTCTTCCAGGTGTAGGTGGCCTTTAGATTGAGTCTGTTACAAGATTCTATACCTTGAATAATTGACCATAAGAAGTTGCTGCCTGTTTGGCCTACTCCCTGGTTCTTTAGCACTGGCCTATAGTATTGTTTACTTAGGAAAAGGAAAGTATTGATACTTAGAATATCTCAGTCTTGGCATATCAGGAAATATAATTGATTAGAACAGTAGTAGATTAGAACTGAAGTAATATAATCAGCAGTAAAAGTGGCATTAAACACAGCCTAGAAAATGACAAACTGTGGTAACTATTGATTTGCTACCTTTAGCCATGTGAACTCTCTTTGTGGTTATATAACAAAATCTAAAACCAGAAAATTATACATAGTAAATATGCCCTCAATATGCCTATTTTACCCTCGGGAAAAAATTTAAAAGGTTTGAGGAAAAAAATAGTGAAATAAAAGAAAAGGAAGAGATTAGAAGCAAGATTGGGAGACACAGGAAGATTATGTGAACTTTGGAAAACTGATGAAGAAGACAGGTGAAAAAAGAAGGAAAAAAGACAAGAACAGAACAACAAAAACAAAAAACTATTAATAATATTCACACTCATATAGAAATAAGAACAGACAACCAAGAAAAAAGGAAAACAAAACAAAAAACAAGAAAAAGAAAAAAATACAAAAAATAAATATCCACTTCAAGGTGTGTCTCTGCTGTCAATGGTATATAAATTGGGCAAACAGAGCCCAGATACAAGTTGATTAATCCCAGAAAGCCAACCATAGATTTATGGTAGGATAATGGACAATCCCAGCAAACATGCACCTTTAGTTCCACTCAAATTCAGGCCGATTTCTGCTGTGAGACTAACACTGGAATTGTTCAGCCTGCAGCACTTTGTTCCTCCTGTTGGCTTGAACTGGCTTCCTCCTGGCTTGAACTGGGCTCCCTGACCTCCTGCTGACCTACACTTGGTCCTTCCTGACCCTGACACTGGCAGCCACTACATGGAGCCAGCAGTTTCTCTGAATTATGAGCTCAATTTGCCCCTGTCTAAGATTGCTACTGGTTAATCGCTCTCTCTTGGAGAATGTCTAAACCCAGAAAAGTCACCAGCCACTGCAGTCTGCTGCATCCACTGCACCTTTGCACTGGTGCATTTCTCCCTGGAGGCCTTTGGGGTCACCAGCGCATCTGCAGATTTGAGCCACCCTTCCTATACAGTGAGTCAGGGCTTAGGGAGGAAGCACTGCTTGCTACCAACCTCCTTCATTGAAATCCCTTCTATCTCTTCATGGACTTTAATTTTTGCTTTAGATCCTTGCTGGGTCCCGGGGACCCACTTCCCTCCTTCTCTTCCTCACATTGCTATATTCCAGCATTTGGACACCAAATCTCAGGCTGTTTTTTCTGCTGTTCACCAAACTACCAGCTTGCTGGAGTCCTCTCTCATTTTTTAAAAAACACTTAACTGTTACTCTTTTTACAAGCTTTCAAGGGCTTTGATAGATAAATGTGTTTTAATATAGTAGAAATGTAAAGACTTTTAAGGAGTGCTGCGGATTTATATCAGCAGATAAGCATGTGCCTTGCAATTGCGAGGTAGTGAGTTCGATCCCCAGTACCAAAAAATATAAGGAAAGGAGACCATGTGGTATTTTTAATAGTGCACTATTTATAGTAGATTGTCCAATATATGTTCACAGCCATGGTAGTATATACTAAACATACCATTTAGATAAAAGAAAACTTACATTACAGATTATAACTTGTGAATCAAATAATGTTTACTTTTTGGCTTAATACATTGTCCAACTATCAATGTAAAACTTACCTTTTGTCTGTTGTGATTTTGTTCATTTCCTTCTTGTCTTTAGGTTGTCCCAGCTGATTCAACTATGAAAGCAGAAGAAAATGAGAAAGTAGATTCAAAGATGAAAGTTTTCAAGAAACCATTAAGTATATTTAAAGGGCCATTATTACATATCAGGTAATAATATTTTATGAACTGTGCTCTTTTTACATATTTTGATCACCTTGAGGGCACTGCAAAGGGAAAAGCTCTGTGCTGTTTCCAAAACCAGAAATCAAAAATTAAAGATTATGTGAAGAGTCACCTTTGTTTCTAGATGTAGTAGCTATTTCTAACTACTTTTTTATCATGTATAACATTTAGTGTGTAAAGGGCCTTCATCACCCATCAGATTATTAGTGAATATTCATATATTAATTATCTGAGTGATGTATTTTTCTTATATTTACGTAAGTAGGGGTGCCTGAGGTGACACTGTGAGAAGCCAAAAGGGAACTAGAAAAGTAGGCATTCATTTTTGTTGCTAGACTGTTTGGTCCAAAAAATGACTTAGTGTCGGAGGCTGGAAATGTAGCTCAGTGGTAAAGCAGTTGTTTACTTTGCCTGGGTTTGATCTCTAGCACTGAAAAAACAAGAAATTTAGAATTATTTTTTGTATTATGATGTAAAACTTTCTTTTAAGTGATGCTTTCAGTTGATGAATCTATTCACTCTTTTATGAATAGTGCTCTGCCAGCCCTCATTAGTGATAATCCAATGTATTTTCTTTCCTTTTGCTTGAAACCTTCCTATGTAAACATTAGATTACCAATAGTATATCCAAGTTCTTTTTTAAAGTCTGTGTCTAATTGACAAAATGTGTTTGTTTTCATATATTTTAATTACTTATATTTGTATATATAAGAAAGAGAGAGGTTTTATTTCCAGTAATTTTTTTTTTGCCATTTTCCCCCATTGGAGTTTATTTTTTGTTTGCTTGTTCTGGTTCTTTCTTCTAGTTTGGAAGTTATCCATCCCATGTTTTTGTGAGGACCCTGTTGCACAGAGTGTACCATATAGTTGTTGAGGTTTGATCAGAATATCAGCAAGGAAGAAAGCTAGGCAGGAACAGACAGCTTCTGGGGCTGCGTTTTAGACCTGTACCTCTGACAGAATCACAGAGCTGCTCCTGTACATACATTACATAATGAGACTTTGTCTCAGAAAAACAAAAGATTCATTAAGTAATTAAAACAAAGCGTCCAAAACGTTCTTCCCATTGTTTTGAGACACCTGATAACCATTTGACTGATGTGATGAAACTATGCAAACTTTGCTTGAGACTTTTAATGGGGGGGGGTTGTCATGAGCATTACAGTGGCCAATGATAGTAAAATTTGAATTTTGAGGCCTACCAATTTTATCATTTGATAAGTTCTTCCTTTAGTTCTCCCCATAAACTTATTTCTGCATTTCTTTTTTCCCTGTATCACTTAGAAAAGCCATTGTATAGTAAAAAATTACTCCATAACTTAAGTACATCTTTAACAATCATATTTTTTATGTTCTTCTGTGTCTGTGTATAGGAATATGACTGATGGTAATCTGTTTATAATTAGAAAAATTTTAAGCAGTACTGCCTGTCTTGCTTTGACTATAATTCATAAACTCCAAATGGTTTAAGTAAATGCAGTTTAAAATTGTGTTGATTATAGGATTAATTCAGAATTTTCCTAATTCTCTCTAGTGTTTTTTCCTACTTTGCTTTTAACCTTAGAGAAAACCATTGGGCTTCTTAAATAGCATGCATTGGAACAGTAAGATTATAATTGTTTTGTAGTCTTATGTTTCAGTGAAATGTTCTTATGCAAATAAGCACAAAACATTAACCAAATAACCTTTTTCAAACTAGTGATTACATTGTTATTTATTTGGAGTAACACAAATACTTTATGTTTTTGTTACCACCTAGCCCAGCAGAAGAATTATATTTTGGAAATACCGAATCTGGAGAGAAGAAAACCTTACTAGTGTTAACAAATGTAACTAAAAATGTAGTAGCATTTAAGGTAAATATCTTAAAGATATAATAAATTATGCATGAAATTGTGACATGGGAAATGATTTGGTACATACTCTAATTGAAAGATTGGTAACTGAATAATCTTGTGCAAAGATTGAACTTGTACAGTGTTTTTATTTATGGTGTTTTTAGGCATAGTGTACTACTTTCTACTTCTAACCAAGAGAACTTTTCTAAAATTTCCCATAGGATCTAAATCTCAGGCTTAAATGAGCTCTAATAGACTAATGTCCATATTTTTCCTGAAGTTTAACATTTATTAACAAAAGCCCAAGAAAACTCTTTCTTCATTACTATATATAAATAATTTGATTCATCACAGCAGTGAGAGAGAAAACTATAAAATCAAAAGTATATTTTTCTAAACTAAGTTTATATTGGTTACTATTAACCTTTTACTGAATATTAAGTATGACAATACTGAATCTGTCACCCATGTTATAGGTATTTCTTTCTTAAATCTCCTAACAGCTAGGATGTTCGGAATAGGCTTCGATCATCCAGTTTTAATTTCTGCACTTTGTTGTAACAAATGATATAATGTGCATTCGGATTTGTGAATTTGCATCATTACGTTCAGCCTACTGGTAGACAGAGTAAATATTTGATAGTTTGTTTTTTTTTTGTTTTGTTTTGTTTTGTTTTTTTTACTTAAGAGGAAGTCTAAGTGACAGAAGGACTTAATAAAAGAAGTATCTTTTTAAACCAGACATGGTGGTGCACACTTGTGCATCCCACACTCTGGAATTCTGAAGCTAGAGAATTGCAAGTTGGAGCCCAGCTTAGGGAACCTAGCAACTGACATAGAGTGACTGACTTAAAATGAAAACAAAGAAGAGCTGGGGAAGTAGCTCAGTGTGAAGGCCTGAGTTCAGTCCCCTAGTACCACAAAACATACAAACAAAAAGTACTTTTTTAGGTAGGTCAAGTTGCTTTTTATGCTGTTGGTGAAAAAAAAATACATATTCTATGCATAATCACTATTTTGGTTTCTATCTCATCACTGAGACACAATACCCAAAGCTCACATCTCTAAGGAGGAAAGGTTTATTTTAGCTTGTAATTTGTAGCAGTTTCAGTCCATAATTTGCTGGCTCCAAGGCAGGGAAGCATGGCAGAGGAGGAGTTCATGGCATGGTGTGGCAGGCAGGAGGTAGCAAGGGAAGAGGAGAGGCCATGCCCAGAGTAACCCACCTCCTTCCCTCAGACTTCACCTCCCAACATTTGACCCAGTTATCCGTTAGTGGATTAACCTAGTATCATAACATCCATGAGCCAGTCACCTGCCAAAAGTCCCACTTATGAGCTCAAGAGGCTTTGTGGGAACATCTGACTATAAGCCATAGTAGCCACTAAGGTGGTTTTGTAGATCCTTTGTTGATTATTAACTGCTGATTATTTAGAAAGTCATTCTTAAATAATTTCCTCAAAAGAGCATATAGGTTGTTATCACAGATGATGTGATTACTGTGTTTCTAAACAGGTGAGAACAACTGCTCCCGAAAAATACAGAGTCAAGCCAAGCAATAGCAGCTGTGACCCGGGTGCATCAGTTGATATAGTTGTGTCTCCCCACGGGGGTGAGTTATCCCTTATGACCGTTCCAGTGTGGTAGAGAGTGGGAACCTCGGCCCCCACTGAGTGCAAAGGTGAATCTAGAGGTTATGAGCAAGTCATCTCAAGACTTATTCTGGGCATCTGTCTTATCACATCTGAAATGAGATGGTCAGCTAGGTCTCTGGTGTCCTTTTATCAGTCAAATGCAATTGTTTTTAAGTGAATAAAATTACTTAAACTGACACCAATTGCAGCTAAATTTCAAAAAATCCAAGTTCCTCAATTTTAGAACTTTTTCTGTGTTTAAGATACCTTCCTTTCCTATAAGCCACATGTCAAGCCCCATGCGAAGGTTCCTGTTTATATACTAAATTCCCCTTTTGGAACACAGGCTTAACAGTCTCGGCCCAAGACCGGTTTCTGATCATGGCTGCAGAAATGGAGCAGTCGTCTGGCACAGGGCCAGCAGAATTGACTCAGTTTTGGAAGGAAGTTCCCAGAAACAAAGTGATGGAGCATAGGTAAGCTTTTTATTCACAGGTTCGAATGTGGTAGAAGAATCAGAGAGGAATGTGCTTCCCTGAGTGAGGCACCGTCCCTCGCTTCTCACAGCTTCCAGACTCTGGGGATGTTCAGATGATTGAGCTGGAGCTGTTCGGGAAGTCACTAATAACAGAAATTCGCTGGCAGACCAGGGCAAGAATCTGAATCTGTCAAGATGACATACATATGCCTCTGTCCCAGCAGTTCCCCTGTAAGAGTACTCCATGTACTAGAGGGTTGGTTGCAGCACTGTTTATAATAGTGAAAAATTAGAACTTGTATGCTCATCAGTAAATCAGCAATGAAAGACATTTGTGTATATCTGCACTAAAGAGTTCTTGACAGCCATTCCAAAGAGTAAAGTCTGTTTGTTCTGACATGGGAAGACATCTGTGATATATTTATGTAAAAGAAACTACTCTCAGAAAAATATATGTAACATGCTATTTAAAAGGAGAAAATCCTTCATAGATATGTGTGTGCATGTATGTGTCAGGTTGTGACAAATGTCTTAAAAGAAGTAGAGAGGAAATGGAGAATAGAGAAGCCTGCTTTGCGGTTTTGTTTTGCTTTGGTTCTCTTTTTTTATCAGAATTATGATTTATTGGAGTATTCTAGTTTTGCCCCCAGATTTGTCGGTATCTAGAGACATTTTTTGGTGGAGTTTTACGTTCAAAAGCATGGCTAAGGAAAATTCTGAAAGGTTAAGAAAGACTGGTATTAAAGGTGTTCTAAATTAAGGTAAAGTACTTATGTCCTCCATATGATGGTTTTATGTATGCTTCATGCTTGTTATGTATGAGGTACTTTATTTTCTTTGTCTTGGTTTTCTCTTTTCTTAATGGCATGCTTTCTTTGGAACTGTCAAGAGGAGATCACTATTTTCTTCTAGATAGTAGAAGAAAATCCAGGTAGTTTGGTCTGGAAAGACCATGAAAAGCACTGTCTACTATCTAAAAAGTGTGGCTGCCTTCAAATAGTAAAGGTATTTGGATGACCTCTGAATACCTTATTAAAAACTTGCCATTGAATCAGGCATGGTGTCACACACCGTAATCCCAGCACTCAGGCGCTGAGGCAAGAGGGCATTCAGTTGAAGCTCAGCCTGAGCAACTTAGCAATTTAGTGAGACCCTGTCTCAAACCTTAAAAGAAAGAAAAAGAAGAGCTGAGTATAGCTCAGTTTTATTGTGAAGTTCCTAGATTCAACCCCTGACTTGGAGAGTAGATTACTATTGAATTCCCTGAGATGGTAAGCAGAATCCACCATCTGTACTCTTTGTACATATGTTAAAAAGCTAGAAATGGGCTGAGGATGTTGCTCAGTGGTACAGCATTTGCCATACATGTGCCAAACCCAGTGCAACGAAAAAAAGGAGAAGCAACAGCTAGAAGATAAATAGACAAATGTAAATTGTGCTGCTACTTTAGATGAACTCAGGGAAAACAGTGAGTCTTTTACTTCTGTTACATAGATTCTTATGTTTAAATTTTTTTCATTTTTGTATTTGACTTACATAAAAAAATTCACTAAAGCTCTTAAGAAGTTATGTTTCCTTTGGATTTTCATAGGTTAAGATGCCATACTGTTGAGAGCAGTAAACCAAGTACTCTGACATTAAAAGATGGTGCTCTTAACATGTCAGATAAAACCAGTGAGGATATATACTTACAAGTAAGTATACTGTCTTCCCAACCAAAACAAGTTGTTAATGCTAAGTGACGTTAGAAGTCCACTTTTTTCCACTGACATAATTGGAAATCTTTGGCATAGACTCAAGCTTTCCCTTTGTGAAAAGAAACCAAATCAGGAATGATAAATGTTGAGTTACTTTTGGAAATCGACAACAAAAGCTCTGGCTAGTTTAATATGGAATACAGATCAAGTATCAAAGAATTGCATCCCACAGAGAAGGGTGCTAAGTAGTACATTTAAATTTGAAAGTGATAAAAAGTGACTAGAGATGTAAATTAGTGGTGGAGCCCTTAACTAGCATGCACTAGGCCCTAGGTTCCATTGATCAGCATTATAAAAGACAGACCAAAGGGCTCAGTCCTGAGCCCTCTCTCCTGGAAGTGTTTGGTCCTCTTTCTGTCTAAAGAGAACCTTTTAAAATATTAATGAGCAGAAACATAATCTGTCCACCAAACAAATTGAATGTCTCCTTGCATTTATGGCTCCCTGCCTTTCAGAATACATGGGCCATATGTCTTCAGTGTTTGGATTTCTTATATTCCTGTTTGTCATTGGCATGATTAGTAATTGTTTTATTGATACAAATCTTTCATCCCTTTTTCCTCTTTAGCTCAATCGTTTACTAGAAAGCAATAGGAGGCTTGAAGACCAACTTCAGCATTGTTTCTGGTTCCAACAACTGCTACTTGCCTTAACAATGCTCTTGCTTGCTTTAGTCGTCACCTTCTTTTATTCGGTGTACAATTAAGAAGTGGAGCCTGGACAAACATAACTCCTTCCTCGATTGGTAGGAAAAAATAACAAACCCAAAATGTCTCCACCAAGCTTCTAAACACATTGCATATCTGTGCTTCCAAAAAGGAAATATGCAGCACGTGAAGGGTACAACCTATACTTGTTTTAAAAAATAAACTTTAAATAAACACTGGAGAAATTCATTATTATAGCTAGTTAGGAAAGAAGTAAAGGCATATGCGTTGTGTAAATTAATAGCTTAAATATAATTTATTTTTCCCTTTGATATAAGTACTTTTAAAGCTTAAGTTTTGGACTAGGAATGTGGCTCAGTGGTGGACCACTCTCCTAGTGTGCACAGGGCCCTGCATCTGCTCCCCAAAGCCACAAAGAAAAGCTTGTTTTATTATGTATATATATTAGCTGAACTGAAAAGTAAGTAACATGCTTTGGTGCGGCCAAAAAATGTAACCTGCTTTTTTATGACAGAATTATAGCTGAGCCAACTTACTAGCTTTTCTATACTATGTAAATAAAAGAACATGTATATTGAAAAAGAAAACATACTTAGAGTAATTTATGTAATCTTGACTTTGTAATTTTGAAACTTCTTTCCAGATGATAGTCAATATTCTTTTGGAATGTAAACCTTTCAAAGCCAAACCACCTTAGCCTTTGTTTCTCAGAGTTCCTTAGCAGCCTGCCTTTTATTAAACCTGGGCTTTTCTACGAACAGTCTCGTTTTGGTAGAATTTGGAAAACTAAGTGTGGCTAAATTTCCTTTGAATTCTGTTGAGTCTCTCCAACCAGTACCCCTTTCCAGTCATCTCTATGCAGCTCCAAGTTGTGCACTATGGCTACACACTCAGCCTTTTGCCTCATTGATTATAAAGGTCTGCTCCTTCCTCATTCCTTCCAGATCAGAGGAGTGTCTGGACTACAAGTTGCACCATCTTTACCCTCATTTTTAAATGAAAAGTGTTAGATGACACTTTTCTTTAAAGAACTAGTTTTTTGATATTCTAAGCAATATAATTTATGATTCAAAATGTTTCTTGTTAAAATCAGCCATAAGTAGGAAACTTACAAAGGATTGAATTATCCCATAATGGTGAGAAGGAAAATGAAAAGCATGGAAGCTCAAATGTCAGGTCTTTGATCAGAGAATGAAAAACACTATTCATAGTGGTCTATAAAAACCTTCAACCCAGGGCTACCTGAATGACTTGATGTTCTGTCTTTGGTACAATAATACCAACGTGGTATGATTTCTAAATTCCTGAAAAGGAAGACTTGACATAAGCAGAGGCTAATGAAATTGTAGTTTGTTTTCTTATTCCTATGGCCAATTTCAATCCTTTTTGGTTAACTTGTGTATCAACTTTATATGAAAGAAAAAATAGTCTTCCTGTAAAATAAATTTTGGGTTTCAACTGAGCCATGTTTGGAGATTTATTGTTATTATCATTATGAAGTGTAGTGTCATCCACTTTCATTGTGAAGAAGTTGGTTCCCCAGAGTTATGAAGAATGGCATTTCCTTCAAAATTGGCCCAGGAAATAAAACCTTAAAAGGACACTGGTGTGATCCTTTGTCTTAAATTGGGCTTTTCTGTCTCAGTTTGCCACTTCCAGAAGTGAAATGGACTGCAGTCCACCCTAAGTACTGTGCACAGTATCTCCCTTTGTGTGTGTGTGTGCACAGTAGCTTCCCCTTACATGATAGATTTTTGGCCTTAATCAAATCCCAAAGTATTTGTGTATGTCTTTTGTCCTTCATCAAATAAATGAGATAATTAGCCATGATTGGAACTGTATTGTCCTAACAGCATCTCTTTAATGTTTCATATGAAAATTGTATTGACTCACTAAAATATCCAGGTCTGATCATTTGCATTTAATAACCTATCTTAATGTTTGTGTCTATTAAATGTGACTAAAAATTACCAAAAATTAACTATAAAGTGAAAGGCATCTAAACTTTTTACTTGTCTTGATTAATCATACATATTTACAATTGATTTTCTGTCATTGTTTGTAATTACATATGCGTGATTGTTTTTGGTATTCTATTTTTGGTAATTTTATTTTTCTCATGCCATTACCTGTTCATGACCAAATTACCTAGGACTTTTATTTAGGTTTTGATCTTAGCTTTCACATAGGAATAAAATTAATAGATTTTTTCATAAAAACATTAATGAAGTATCATTAGCTTGATCTGCAAATAGCTTAAAAATACAATTTCTGTTAAACCTAGCCTCAAATTTCATAATACCATAACTGTTTTTATATCTTGCCACTAATTTTGACTGGATTTAATAGCACTTTATTGTACAATTACAAAAAAAATATATTCCTAGAATTGTTGCCAGTGTAATTTCTCTAATGTTCTGGTGCTTTTCGTATATTTTCAGTATTTTTATTACTATATTGGTATTTTCTTTGTATAAATTGATCAAAGAACATGTTTTCTATTTTAATATGTTTTAGAAAAGTAATTGCATTTATGAAATAAATATCATCAGGAAAAAATCCTCTGGTCTCTAATTGATAAAACATCTTAAAGAGAATTAATGTTCAGACTTACTATGACCTTTTAAAGATAAAGCATGGGCAACCCGCTCAGGACCCCTTCTGTGTGTCTCTCAGACAGAAGCTTTCTTTCTCTCAATAAGTATTTCTACTCTAAAAAAATAATAAAGATCAAAGTGCTTGCTTCCTTTTGGATCTGCTTTGCATTTTTATAAGGACAGCACTCCAGTCTTCCAAAGATGCAGTCTGTGCCAGGTGAGTCTGTCCTTTTTCTCCTCATCCCTGTGTTGGGTAGGAACGCTGCTCCATGCAATTCATGGCATTGTGACTTGGTATTGTGACTTGGAGCTCATTAATGAACCCATTACTAGAGCTGCAGTGAGTGAATTGCCCCTTGATCTTTCTGTCTTCCTGTCTGATGCAATGAGCTGGAAGAAGCCCAGAGACATGTCTTGCTGGCTGCCAGGCATGTGGATAAAGCAGTGTAGCACTCACTGTTCCCAGAATCAGGGCTGTGGCCCTAGCCTGAGACAGCAGGGGTGCTGAGAAGGGGCACAGGATAGCTCAAGCCATTGACAAGAAGCCCTCTGGGTTGTTCGCATCAGTCCGTTTGCCACCAGAAGACAGCCTTCCAAACAGCAACTCCCTCTGCATAAAAATCAAATAAGTGGGACAAATCATTCGTCTGTACTGAAAAGGGATAAAGATAGCAAATCAGGTGCATAAAAAGCCCAATCCATTGGGGAAAATAAAAATAAAAAATAAGCTAAAAAGACAGAACATTAGCCTATCAAGAAGTATACTGACCAGTGAATGTGAGAGAGAGAGATCCTTCCTAAAGGACAATTTTCAAGGAAATAACTGGGGAAATCAGCTAAGAAAAGATTGATTATAGGAGTCTTTGACTTTCTCCTGTAAATGTTCACCACCAACTCAAGGTTTTGTGACATCAGGACACCATAGGCTTCCAGAAACATAGGCTTCCCCCTCTCTCCCTGGTCCAAAGGGACAGACTACATCCATTGAAGGTGACCTTGCTCTGCTGATATATTGCCCCCAACTGCCTTCCATCCTGTCTTAGAGCTTTTCATACTTGATCTTGAATGTCGCACCTCATTCAGACCCACATGTCAATTCTCCAAATTTTTCTCATACTTGTGTTCTTTACAATTCAGTAAAATCATATCAGAACTTATACATCTGCATCTTAATTCTGTCCTAATAAATATACCTCCCTATAATGTCCAGAGAGTCTCATATCACTACCTCACTTATGTTCCCAACCATGAGTAAAATAATCTTAAGATATCAGAATAGAGATTATTGGTTAAACTGGCAAGAATATAGAGAAATATTTCTGACTCATAGGGACAAAATATCTGAGGGACAATTTGGTCCTTGAAATGCAATTTTTCCATGCTCTTCTGTCTCGGTAATCAGGAAAAACAACATAAGATCTCCTTTTTATAGAGAGAGAAAAAACAAGGGTCTAAGAATTCTCCAAAGAATACATAAATGGTTGATTTCAAAACTAACAGTTAAACTGGATGCCCACACACACTGCTTGTCTGTTATAAACATCCAGGGCTGCCAAATAGTAATGGGTTAAAATGTTGAGTGGTAAAGTCCAACAGAGATGGCCATCTATATTTCAGTGAATTGAAGCACTAAACAGTATGAGGGAAAGAGAATAAAGATACAATGCTTCAAGAGAAGCACGTGACAAAATGACCACTCAGGCCTAGTAAAGTAAGTTTCTTGGGGTTCTAAGCTACAGGAACTGTGAAGGTTTTGATGCATGAGTAACATAATTTTGTTTTAATGGGGTTGCATTCATGTGTGCACTGACCCTTGGATCAGTTATTCTGTCACTCCATTGAGAGGCCTTTAATAGGCCATGTTGCACTAGTCTCAGAAGCTATGGTCTAGTGTCCTGAACAAGTCATGTGTCTAATAAAATCAGAATATGTCAGTTTTCTTTTGCCTTGTAATAAATGTCCACAAACAACCACACAACACAGATTTACAATCTCAGTTTCTGTGGTTGAGTCCAGAATAGCATGGCTGGGTTTTCTGCTCAGGGTCTCATAAATCTGAAATCAAGGTGTCAGCTGACTGCATCCTCCTTAAAGGTCCAAGTGAATGAAGATCACTTTTAGGAGCTTCCAACTTGACACAATTCATTTCTTAGTGGCTATGAACCAAAGTTGTTGATTTCTTCCTGGCAAGGAGGCCTGCTATCAGCCACTCCCACACCCATGCTCTCTGACCTCCAACATAAGCATGTCACATTTCACAGTTCCCACTTCAGATCTCTTGTTTAAGGATCCACCTGATTAAGTCAGGCTCACCCAGGACAGTCTCCTTTGGGATTAACTCAAAGGATACCTTGTCTCAGCAATACAACAAAGCACTCATGAGGTTGACATCCCATCACATTCACAAGCATCAACTCCACTCAAGGAGAGAGATTACATAGAATGGGACCTGCGTATCTATCCAATTTGGTGCCTCAGGCCAGAAAGTCAAAACTCAACTTTAGTCTGATGGCTTTGAATTCACTGATGATACTGCACAACTGCAAGGAAGTAGCCCATAAGGTTCGTGTCAGGTGCCCAACCACCAGTTTGGGAACAGTACATCTCTATCCTTGTTGACTTTCTCTAGTCTCAGGTTTTTTCCTTTCCTTTTCATTATAGAGTTTCTATTATAGTGGCTATGCTAATTTAACTTCAAACATTTGAGAATGTAATGACAGTATACTTCCTAACAACGTTCACATACACAAAGTTAAAATAGTTCAATGAAGCAGTAGTCCCTGTAGTTTCAGACCAAATCACATCTGTGTTAAAAATGCAAATAACTTTTATTGGCACAATTTCCAATTCACTTTCTCTCTATATGTGTTTTTCTGACTAAATTTATATTTACTTTGCCAGACCTACAAATAACAGCAAGCTTTATGAAATCAGAAACTAGTTCTGGATGTATTATAGACCAGATAAGTGTATTTTTTTGGTGTATAGAATTTCTTTTTCTCACCCTTACTAGTATGCTTGTGATAAATAATAAATACATTCATTGTGGGGAATTGGTACATACACATCACATCTTGATTCTTTTTACTTCCCCTCTAGCCTAGTCTCAGTTTCAATTCACATAAATATTCAAGCTTTTAAGAATAAACAATTAAGGGAAAATATGTGACCAGTGCTTTAAATAGTTTATTCAATCATTAAAAAGCTATCAAGAAAGATTCTTACATTGAGTTAATTCACTAAGACAATGGTACTTCTAGTAGTTGTGTGCTATTATAAAGCTCTAGTGAAAACAGTTGAACTAACTTTTTAACTTTTGCTTTTCTTTCAGAATAATTATCCACTTCAGTTGTAGTTTATTTTTAGACATAAGGATGCTCTGTAAAACTAAATGAAAAAAATTAAAATTGTAAAATGAGAAGCAAAATATTTTCTTACAGAGATCTGCATTATGTTTCCAACTGTTTGTTTGTTTCTTTGTTTTACAGTACTGAAGATTGAGCCTAGGGCCTCATGCTTACCACTAGGCTACATCACCAACCATTTTATTTATTTTTTTCTTAATTTTGAGACACTGTCTCACTAAGTTGCCCTGGCTGGCATAGAACTTGCGATTGTCCTGACTCAGCCTTTTGAATTGCCAGAATGACAGTCATGCATCACCACACCTGGCTGATTTCAAACATTTGTACTCTCCAATTTTATTTGGGTCAAATGCTAGTGTCTTACATTCTTTCATTTTAGAAAGTTCCCTGCACATTTTCAGATTGTTCTGGAGCTATATACAGTTCTATATACTGTATGTTGAAAATCTCACCGGTTTTCTGATTCATTTTGGAAGCTTTGTGTGTTTGTGTGTGTGTTGCCTAGGATCAAATCCTGCACATGCTAGTTAAGGGCTCTACCACTGAGCTCCATCCCCCACCCTGATGTACACACATTCTTAATAAGTTTCTGACTGCAGAAGACTTTCAAAACTCCTAACATTGTGCTGCTGGCCTTTTCTCGCCTGAACTGGAACAAAGAACTGAATCATTTGCCTTTCTCAATCCAATAGTCTTTTTCTCTGTACAAGCCCTCACTCTAACACCACCATACTAACTCACTGAGTATGACTTACTATTTGCAGTTAAATTTCCTGCCCTCAACTGCTTTCATCCACTAATGTGCAAATATGGTTGAACAGCTTGAGTCAAATGCCACACAACCGTTCTCAGTTGTACACTAAATTTCAAAAATAGTGTTTTGGTGTTTCAACCTTCTAACTGTGCTAGAGAATAAGGAGGTTATTATCAGGGCAATAACAACAGTATGGCACATTCTACAAAAAAATTTTTTTCTTTTACCTGTGGTTGAACTGTTAAGTTACCAAAATGAAAAGTTAAAAGCAAATTGACATAAAAATAATAAAACTTCCTTGCAAATCCAGTATTTACTGCTCTGGGATTTCTTAAACCACTTAAGATATCAGTCATTAAAGCCATAATAGGTGGCGATACATTTTACAGAGGAGTTATAGTCTAAAGTCAGTGCTTATGGGAGAATTCAGTGTAGTTAGAATTTTCCTTGAAATTTGTAAGTTGCCTCAATCTATATCTTGGTGAATCCAAAACCATTTTACACCAGGCAATGTGTTTGGCTTACATTTTCATTATTTTGGTGGGAGGAAGGGTTCATATAAACACATGCTCTACCACTGAGCTACATCCCCCGTCCAGTGTAGCATGCCTTTAAAATTAGTGATCATCAATATTCTCTTGCTTTAAGAGACACAAGGGGATTGAAACTGAATGAGAGGAAACCATTCATATTTTTATCACTCTACATGCACCAAGTAGAAGAGAGAATTTCCCTTTTTCCCCCCTCTGGACTCATGATTGAACCTAGAGCCTTTGCAACTGAACTACATCCCCAATACCATCCCTTTTTTATTACTACTATTTTTTATGAGAGACTGGATATCACTTAAGTCACTAAGCTAACCAGGCTTGACTCAAACCTGTCATCTTCCTACACAGTCTCCCAGAGTGCCAGGCTTACACATGTGAGCTGTACAGGGATTATAGGAACAGTCTTCATTCTAAGAGTCGAGGGTTCACACACTTAGACTCAAAATCTGAGTTTTCTCTTAGACAAACTTTTAGAAAGGATCTTCAG